AATGCTTGAGATTCAAATAGATAACACAATGGGAATAAAGACAGAACTAAAGAGGGCAAAATAATTTAAAAAAAAAAAAATCAGTGGAGAACTATCTCAATGAACATCTTTAGGTCTATCAACCTTTTCTAGTTTATACTTGAAACTGAAAATATATATGCTTTCCAAGACAGAAATAATACCATGAGCATGCATCTCTCTTTAAAGATTTTTCCCTGTGTTCTCCACAACAGATTCTGCAACATAATAGTAAGTTTTACACAAAAAAATTTAAAAATAAAGGAGCTAAAGGTGTAGGGATGGTGTGATACGTAGGGGAAGAACAAAAAGGGAAAAGAAAAAAATGTGAGAGAATGAAAAGATGAAAATAAAGTGTTTGTAGATGGGGAGGGGAGGAGGGGGTGAAGGGAGGGCAGAGGTAAGGGGAAAAAAATGAGAATCAAGACTTGCCATGTAAAGGTAGATGATCCCAACAATGAATGTAACTGTACTGTATCCCTAAATGTACCAATAAACTCAATAAAAAAAAAAAAATAAATAAATAAAAATAGGATATTTTACTTAATTTCTTTAGGCATCAGGCACAATACACAACTACTGAGTGCATTAAATGGCTAGTCCAAACTGAAATAATCTCTACCTGTAAAATATCCACAGGATTGCAAATATTTACTGTGAAATAAAATGTAATATATCCCAATTTTAATATCAGTTGCATGCTGCCATATTTTGGTTATCTTGTACTAAACATATTAAGATTAATTTCACTTGTTTCTTCTTTAAAGTAGCATTTGAAAAACAAAGTTATGTAGTTCACATTATATTTCTATTTACAATGCTAGTTAAGACTGCATTTAATTTTGCTGAAAATTCTTCAAATAAATTTGTCTACTACATGCCAAGCACACAAGCATACCAACAGTGAATAAAATAGTGGAGTGTATCTTTCAGAAGAGTGATCTTGTCTGGTCAACATAGTAAATAAAAATGAACAGACTTGTCAGGGACAAGAATCTAAAGGTGATACAAATATTTCAATAGAAAAATACAAATATCCCAATGCTTAGGCTCCACTCCCTAATCTTCTAGAAAAAACTATTGATCCTGTGAATACACAGTAGGGCCTAGCACTGTTTGAAAAAAAATCCCTAGGGTCTGTGATTTGAATCCACTTGTAAACCCTACTTTTGCTGACCACTGCTATCTGGGAATAGTGATTTATATCAGCAGTCACCAATCTTTCTGGAACCAGAGACCAGTTTCCTGAAAAACAACTTCCCCACTAATGGGGAGGGGTGGTTGTTTTTCTTTTTTCTAGTGTGTCTGTGATACATAATAATTATATACCCCGACCCTAGCATCACTGCCTTAACTCTACTTCAGATCATCAAGCATTAGATTCTCCTAAGGAGTGTAAAACCCGGATTCCTTCCAGGCAAAATTCTCAGTAGGGTTTGCACTCCTATGAAAATCTAATGCTGCTCCTGTTTGACTAGAGGTAGAGCTCAGGCAGTAAAGCTAGAGAGGGGGAGCTGCTGCTCATAACAGATGACAGATGAAGCTTCCCTTGGTTGTACACCTCTGCTCACTTCCTGCTGTGCTACCCAGTTCTTAATGTCAGGACTACTACTTGTCCTGGCCTAGGGGCTGGGGACTCTGATCCCTTGATTCATACAGCTTCTCTGTCCTCCTCTTTTAAATTTTATACAGCCCCTCCATCCTCCTTTTTTATAATTTTATTTCTTCTGAAGAAACCTAGCCTGTGAACCTAAGGAGCCTCTACTGGGTGCAACAGTCAACTACTTATAACAAACAAGTTTGACATTTTTTTTAAAAAAAAACAAAATTAAACTATCATTTCTTAGCTATTTAATTTAATTATGAACTGGCATGTTTTTACACATGGCTTAAGTTCCAGTTTATGAATATCCACTGATAAGGCAATAGCCCTTCCCTATTCATCTCAATCAGCAGAATAAATTTTAGGCAACTAACAGGCTTGCAAAGAAAACAACTTCCTGGATGCTGTATTAAAGAAAATAGGTACAATTCACAGTATAGGTATAAATTAATATCCATAGGTAACTATGGTGCCTGCAATATGTATGTATCTACATTCAGAGGAGACAGTCTCCTCTAAAATTTTGAACTGATGACCTGTAAGTGAGCCTTTAAATCTTGAAGCACACTCTTTAAAAATATTTGCAGCAAATTTTAATAAATGGCTAAACTAAACCAGAGGTAGTACAAAAATAAAAATCATTAATGAAATTCAGGAAAGGATGTTTCAAGAACTGAAAACACAGTTTAATTTTAAACAAAACTCTATAACATAATCAAAAGTAAGGCAGATTAATGGTACTCAGATTTTTGAACCTGATTGCTTGGCACACAAAATCATCTTTAAAATTCCCTTACTCCTTTAAAAGGTTATTTGTCTTATCCTATATTTATATATTAATAGTGATTATTTTAATTATATGCCTCACATTTTGCAAATCATAACTGCATATTGTCAAGTTTTATGAACACTTTAACAGGCTACAGAATATGCCATAAAATATATTACTTAGTAATTTTAATAAATTACAGAATATAAAAATACTATTTTTGATAAGGACACAGCATAGCCAGTTTCTCTTCAATAAGTTTCAAAAAATTGGTAAGTTTTACTCTAGAAACAAAGTTTATAGGCACAGCTACTCAGCCACTAATATATCTAAATGTATGTAAGAACAAGTCAAACATCCATGATCTAAAAATCTGAAATATTCTAAAATCAAAACCATTTCGAACAATACCATAAATAGAAAATTCCATAAATTGTGCACTATAAAACCTTGCTTCATCCACAAAACAATTTAGAAATTGTATCAAATTATCTTTGGGCTTTATATGTAATGATATGAAATAAATGTATTTCATATTTAGGCATGGGTCACACGCCCAAGATCTCTCATTATGTATATGCAAATATAGCAAGACCCAAAACACTTATAGACTCAAACATTTCATTAAGGAATACTCAACTTGTTTGGAGTAATCAAGGTAAACCAGGAAATACATGTAATATACACACATGTAACTGCCAAGCTTTTCCAATTCATACTTCTCATGCTGTAGCTAACTGTAAGAAAGAGTTTATATTTTCGGCTTGCTTCCAAAAATATGTTTAGGATATGGAAAAACTCATCATATAGGCAACATGTATACACACACACACACACACACACACACACACACACACACACACGTACATATAGGCATCAGCCCCAACCTGATGCTACTGGTAGAGTTAAAGTAGAAGTTAAATTATGATTATTCTTCCCAATTCCACCTTTTCAGTATAATCACTAATACTCCATAAAGTGACCTTATGGAATTGCCAAATCTTAAAATGCATTTGACATCACTGACAGGAAGATTCAACTAGTTTCCACACAAATATATGGGTAAATTAATATGACTATATTCTTATGTTCTGAAAATTGGTCATCTGTACATTTACCTCAGGCAACCCTAACAAATATTTAAAGACTACATACTAATATAAATACAGCAAATCAATTAACTTACAAATTCAATTACTCTAGACATCAGAGCAGAATTTAAGAATAACCAATATCAGGCTAGATGGTATATGCTGTAAAACAATACTAACATCCAAGTGCCACTGCATTTCATACACACTAAGCATTTACACTTTTTCACTTAATCTATAAAAAGAACCAGATTAGGAGATAATATAAATAACCTGCCAATGGTTACATCTATAAGTGGCAGTCTTTTTGTACAAACTTCCCTTTTAGTAACTAAATCATACAGAAACCAGGAAAGAAAGTTACAGTATTACGTCATTATATGTCTCAAGTCAATACACTGACTCAAATGACTTCTTAAAATGATTTTTACAGTGCTTGAGGGTATAGCTCTGTGGTAGAGCACCTACGTATTATACACAAGGTCTAGCACCACACACACACACACACACACACACACTCTCACACAGAGGGATTCCTTCCCCTATATATTTAATCTGCCTTTATACCTAATAAGTTAGGTACAACTCATAGCACCTCACATACATTTTTATCATAAATAACAAACTGTCCTCTAATCACTTTTCTCCTTTATGCCTATGAAAACACTGTTAAGAAGCTTGAAGCCTGGACTCTCATCGTGTTTTTGCCTCCAAATAACTATGAAGTACATAAAAAATATTCAAACTACTTTTAAAGGTCCCCTAATAGATCTTTTTTCTATCATCTTCTAAGCAACCATCTTAAAATAGAAAGCTTGATAAAAATGTGAAGAGCTGTAGAATCTCAGAGTCAAATGGGACCTTATAAAGGTCAAACAATCTATCTTCTCATTCATCAATACCGCATTGCTATGAATATTCTCTAACTTTTTAAGAAAAATGTGTAGGAAGGAAAAATGAAACAAATCTGATAATGAATTGATTACTGTCATCACAAAAATTGAAATATCAGAATTAAATAAATGAAGTTTGTCAAGTCAGACGTCATTAACTTAGTCCTCTTGATCTTTGTACCTAGGAATCTTTTAGGCTTAAAAAAGTGACAATTTGTCAACCTGTAAAATTCCCATTTTAAAAAGTGACTTTTTAGATAGGATAATAAATACCTCCCCAAATCTGACAAATTGACTTCAGATCAGTTGTTAGGGATAATTTTAATAAATTAGAATGAAAAAGTTCATTATGGTAAAGGTTAACAGTAAATGTATGAACATTTCAAAAACAGCAGAAAAGAAAAAAATCTAAATGCAATAAACAAAATATTCTGATTAATGAAGCATTAGTCATCTTTTCAAATCCTAAAAATCTTTTCAACTCTAAAACTTGGTCTATTCAAATGTAAGTACAAGCCAAACCTTGTAAGTAGTACCATGACTGTCAGCACCAATATTAATAGTTAGGTCAACAAATTGTTACATCAACAAATAGCATATATGAAAAAAATTGTTTCCATACTTACTAGTATCCATTCCTAAGTCACAACAATGGGGTTCTATTCAAAGACTGAATTCTAAATACAGATTAATGGAAAAAGCAGGAAAGAGTTCACAAATTAGGTTGTTATAACACTATATGCCAAAAATGGAAGCTTTTTAAGTGAGCAGTGCACAGTAACACCAACCTAGTGTCTATGTCTGCAACTACAGAGTGACTCTTAAAAACTACCATTAACATTAACTTTCTCTAAATCTCAGTCCATATGCACACACTGCTTAAAATTTAATGTTCTACAATACACTATCAAGCTCCTCTAATGGCACATTATTGAAGAGATAATTTTTAAAACCTCTTCTTCCACGTGAAAAACCAGTGTTCTTTCAAAAGATAACCTCATTTGCACAACTACTGTGAAATTATTTATTACACAAATTCTACCTCTTCTATTATCTGTTCATACTACTTATTCAGTCTTCCACAGGGCTTTGCCTAACTGGACAAATGTACTGCTAGGGAAGCAGAAATATTCTTTCAGTCCTTAAAAACTAAGGCAGGATAATAAACTGTTCATCCTCCTTCCAACTATCTTCAAACTCAACTGGAAGCAGCATTTACAGTCCTCCTTAATAGAACATAAGAAAAAAACAAACAAATTCAATTTAAAGGGTAACAGCATTAAGAATATCTTGGGAGTGGCGATAAAGAAACACTGTACATTAGATATCATGCCATTTATCACTTCTGTGTAAATCAGTAACTCTCTTCTGATACAGTATCATATCTGATGCTTTATACAGTGCTGGACATATGGTGGTAAACTGGTAGTGAATTCTCAGCCTATAGGGGGTACTCAATCTTCCTCCTTCCTAACCAATTACCTTGACACTCCCCTAATTATGACATGATCCTTTTCTTCAAAAAATCACACTACTCCTTGTAATAAATATTGGTAAAACTCCGGCTTAAGATTTAATGATACACTGGGAACAGGTCTTTGAGGAAGTGTAAGTTTTAGCCATCTACCTTTCCCACCAAGAGCCCTTGAATGAATAACAATATGTTGATATTCCCAAAAGACATTTAGAGCTAATCTCCAAAGAATAGTCTTTTCAGTTTCACAAATCACTGCCGTCTGTTTATTACCACTTACTACTATTTTACTCGCATCAAAAGTAAATTTTTTCACATGATCATTAAAAAGTAGGCCTCCAGTCTCAGAAATCTGGGTACAGAACATACAGAGAGCAACTCCTAAATGTGACAGGAACACTGTACCAAAACAAGAGGTCAGTCAGAAAGACACGGAAAAAAGAGACAAGGAGATTCGTTTGATTAGAACCAAGAAAAAGTCGATGTATTCAGGTATTTAACACATAAATCTTGATTCTAGAACAAATCTGATTGTTAAAATACCCAGGGACAGCGTGAGAAACGTCCCATAACTAGAAGGCGGCGACGGGGCTCAATCCAAAGAAACAAGAGGCTACGAGGGCAGACTGTGTCCGGAAGACCGGAGAAAACTGGCTGAAGGGGATGCTGCAGCAGGGTGGGTTAAAATGGTGCCTTCGCCCAGTGGAAGGCCACGAGGGCTGGGCTCGAAGGCGTCCTTCGGTCGGGCTCTGGTCTTAAGGTTTCCGGGATCACAGTCCAACTTTCATGGGGAAGGAAAAAAAAAGAAAGAAAGAAAAGAGGCAGCAGGAGTACATCCCGGCTCGTCAGCCACACAGCCCCGAAGTCTGCGTTCGGCGCTTGCTCCGCCAGGGAGCTGGGAAGTAACGGTCCCCGGAGCCAACGCGAAG